TTAAACTCGTTGCAGGTCGTTTTGCAGATCCAAAAACGGATGAAGAAATTGTTTGTCTTGGACAGACGAGTATTCCCCTAAATACGGAGAAAGCTATCAGATGGGCGTGTCGTTTGTTGGAAGAGTGGAGGGAAGACCGTAACAGGAGAATACGAAACGGAGAATTCCAGGGACAAAGGCTGAGCATCATCGACATTAAGCTTGAAGACCTCCATGATGATGAACTGAATTTTTGTCTATGTCGATTCGTTAGTGAAGTGAGGAAAACGGATGGTACACAGTACCCACCAAAAACCATGCGACAATTAGTGTCGCTAATTCAAATGTATTTGAACAACAAAGGTCGAAACCTTAACTTTCTTAGTGACATGTTTAGAGAGGGGAGGAATACGTTGGACAACTGTATGAGAGCTGGTGCCACTTCTGGTCTTGCTTTACCACATAAAAAGGCTGAAGTTATTACCTTTGACCAGGAAGATAAATTGTGGGCACTGGAGTTACTTGGCACCCAAAGTCTGCTTAGACACTATGGTTTATTTAATTGGACTCAATTTCTCTCTTCGCAGTGGGGAGGAACACCGAAGTCTCACAATTTCCCAGTTTGTTGTGAAAACTACTTCTGATGGAGAATATTTGCAATATACAGAAAAGACTAGCAAAAACAACCAAGGGGGCCTCAAAGATTTAAGAGTTACACCGAAACACGTCCGTGCAAACAGAAGTTCGAATCCACAAAGATGTCTAGTTTCTCTGAAGTATGCAAGTTCAAAGTATGCCGCAGTCTTCGTCCACACAATGCCCCAAGAGACCAGTGTTGGTATAGTTCTTCACCGACTGGACAGCACACACTTTCGAGGACTATCAAGAAACTCTGTGATAGGGCTGGATTTAAAGCCAAGTTGAAACTATATATTCTTCAAACTAGAAAATCTGGTAAAATTTTCATCGCAAAACAAAGGTAAAGTATGACAAACTTCAAGCGTCGCTTTCAAGCAACTCAAGCGGCCATTAAATTATGACCTAAAAACGAAACCAGACCCATAATCTATGATCATGAGACATTACATCTTCATGCGAAAATATGATATGGCACCAAACATTTAAGCTTTATGCACAGGGTAATTTCCCATCGCTCGGATTCGATGTTACAGGAAGTGAAACTTAAGTCATTACATCATTTGTTTTCATTGCAGGTTTCTACACCAACCACTCTCTGCGGGCTACATGTGCCACTCGTCTCTTCAACAGTGGTGTCGACGAGCAGTTAATTGCAAGGACAACGGGTCACAGAAGCAACGCTATCAGAGACTACAAACATGTCAGTGAAGGTCAGGAGGAAATGGTTAGCAATATCATTCAGGGCGGTACAAAGCGACGTCTTCAGGCTGCAACGACTGCATCAAACGACGACAAGGCTCCAGATAATGCCGTTGAATTTACTGTAACCGTTAAAGCATCCAAAACGTAAAACTGAAATAAAAGTTGTTTCTTCAATGTTTGGTGTTTTTCAACAGACCCGGTTTTTGCACGATTATTACACTGTTCTTAATCTTGTCATGACAAGGGTTAACGGAAAGTAGTCCCGGCTGATTCCGGGATGTAGTTTAATCAACATTTTGATTGGTTATACTACGGGTCCAAACAATCGAGTCGTGGTATAACTTTAAATTATTTCTACCCCAACCTCTATGAAACGCCAGTCCGTCCCTCCGACCTTAGAGAATGAATTAACAAAAGGAGTCTAACCAAAGTCTAGCATGTTGGGCAATTCTCGAATGTCGTAATCGATAGTTCTGGGATCTATTTGGATTTTTCTTTGAATAATAGAACTATATTTCTGGGACTAAATGCCAGACTAAAGAACCGATGAGCTACGAAAATATACTGGCCACATAAAGAAACTGCACACAGAAAATATAAAGATAGACAGTGTCTTTATACATAAATAAAGGTGTGAACATAGCAAGTATTGGAGACAATCAAACGCTTATGCAGGTGCCAGGCGACGTGACGTCATTGATGGTAGCCTATGGACTTGCAATGTGTTACTGCACGTGCAGCCTGTGCAGCTGCACACATGTGAAACTCAGAAATTTGCTGTCACTGTCGAAAGCTTGATCTTTAGTCATTCAAACGTTCACGAATTCACATGAGAATTCACATGCACATCATGCCAAAATTAACATCTGCTCAACGTCACGAAACCATTGGAATGGTTCGAGCAGGCATGAGCCAACAACAGGTGGCAGCACATTTCCAATGCCATCGTAAAACGATATCTGCATTGGTCAGTTGTTATGGAAACAGTAATGACGTCCCCGAGTAACGACGCCAAGACAGGACAGATGGATTCGGGTGAATAATCTGTCACAGGTTCCAGACGGCAGTGACCACGTCCCAAACCATTCCCCAGGCCTTCAATGCTCATTTGGTAGCCTATATGTGTCGTCGATGCACTGCTGTGCTTCACGCGCATGATGGTTCATACCCGTTATTGACTTTGTGACTTCGTCGTGTGACCCCCAACTCAATTTTGAACTTCTGACGTCATCGTTACGGATATTGTTCATGTTGTTGTGGCCCGATACTTCAGCTTATAAAGTGTCTACATCATTTCGTCTTTTCTGTGTTGTGTTCCAATTCTGAAGGAATTTTCTGTGAGCACAGTTTCTTTATGTGACTAGTATATGTCAAAATACTCTCTCTCTCTCTCTCATTGTACGTTTAAGCGATTGTTTGAACTTATATTAGCAGGCACTCGTTCACTGTTGTCGGTGTATTGTAAGTGTGCAAACAAAGATAAAAGGTTGACGTTTGAGATTAGTCAAATTTTCATTTATACGGCGTGGCATGGTCCGAATTGATCTCCCAGTGAAAGTGTGAGAGAGTCTTTCCACTCCTGCAGCAGCTGGCCGTGTTCGGCAGACGTAGCAGGTAGCCCTTGACCCCATGGAATCAGGTTCTAGAAATGCTCAGTAGGGGAAACGCCAGGACACGGCGAGCCACGGCAAGATGGTGACGTTCTCCACGACACGTGTACGACGGACACGCGCGTTCTCTTCTCTTAACGCCGCACTCCGCAATAATCCAGCTATACGTCGGCGGTCAGTTATTCTAGTCTGGACCAGACAATCCCGTGATCAACATCAGCAGCATCGATCTGCGCGGGATATCATCTTGAAGGGCAAAAGGTAGACCAGAATGACGCGCACCTGCTACAGTTATTGGCCCCAGGATGTTCTATCCGTATTGTTGTCCTGTGACCCTTCCATAAACAACATGAACGGCGTTCACGTTACCACACAGCAGTCAGGATACCCTCGTACCAGTATGCGAAATAGTCCAGTCGGGCCAGTAAATCTCCAGTCACTGGCCCGATTGGCTTGTGAAATTTAATGCGGTCATGTTGTAAATATATCACTCTCTTCGACTTGTTAAGTTATAATATACTTTAAATCATGTGAGATTATGGCCTGATAAAAATGTTCATCATATTAGCAGCTTAATGATGAAACCCGTGTCATGCCGACAATATCTTATTGTCATCTATTTTCGTAATTTTATGCTTTGTTTCTACATTCAAATTTCTTGTTAGTGAATTTTCTTCTGGGTTAGTAACTTTCATACATAGCTTGCCCGACTGGCTAGCAAAATTTGGAAACTATTTGGCACACTGCCTCGTACTTAGTCGCCACAGCCCTGCCACGGTCATCAGTCCAGGGAGTTACTGTCACCTTAGCACTAAGATCGTTTTGTACAACGACACCCTGGCAGTCCCGCGTCTTGTCATTAATCCAGTGATTGACATCATGAGCATGGACCTAGGCAACTGCTGTACTGCGATGACAGACATCACACACGTCGGTAAATACAGGGGCGGATCCAGGAGTTGGCAAATCAATTCCAACAGAGATCTTCTCGGTGGCCTCAACACATTTACGACACCCCAGATAATGTATATGTTGTCATGACAACCAGTCGCCAAAGAATATACAAGTAGTCTTAGGCTTTGTATAAAACTTGATAATTAAACGAATATAACATCACGTTTCATACAACAGTGTCGACTTTGCTGTTATGGTGATAAATGCAGGAAACAACTGCTGCGCCCCGACAAAGAATTAGACACGTCCCAGTTCGAAACAACGGGCTTATATACAACGACACCCGGGCACAGATAAAACAGAGGACAAAACAATATAAGACCTCTGTAGAAAAATCTGACATGAAAATCTGACCTATCGGAACACCTCATCAAATACACCGAACACCATATTCTCTGGCAACAAACCAAGATCCTACACACCAACTAATGGAAAAAGAGGAAACTCCATGAAAGCATGGAGATCCACAGAAAGAAGACAGCCATTAACCAAGACCAAGGCATTCACCTTCCCAGTGTTTTCTCTATTGTCCTATATTCGTCGGCTTTGTCTTACATCTCATGGCTTTACCCTTTAATTTTATCTAATTGGCTTCGTAATTATATTGTTATCTTTGTACATTCTCCCTCCATGCATTGTCTAAACATGTTTCTATCTATATATATATTAATAATAATAATAATAATAATGTGTCCATTTATATAGCGCCAAACTCCACACTAGGTATGCTCATAGCGCTAACAATCAAGGCCATTATTACCCCGGATAACCCAAGCTGCCTGTTAGGCGCTAGAAGGTTATAGTCATATGACTTTTTTCCACCGGGTACCCATTTTCTGCTGGGTGAACAGAGACAATTTTGAACAAACTCACTTGCCTAAGGTGAGACCACATGTGTCACATGTGCTTCGTTGTGGGGCAGGACTCAAGTCCTAGAAACTCTCCGGAGTCAAGCTGCCAAACACTCTTTGTACTGACTCATCATTCACCTGATGAAGGAGCAAGAATTAGCTTTGAAACGTTGTGCAAAGAATATAAAAGTTGTTATCCATAAACCTTCATGTATTCAACTGCTCCTGTGTTCGTACAGGTGTATGCAAAGAGGACAGACAAATATTTAATGTGATTAGCATATTTAATCATTATCAAAATATATATGGTAGGAAGTTGGTGTACAAGTAATCAAGTCTAGACATGGCAATCAAGTGATGGAATACCTGCCTTGTGGTACTACACACATTCTGAAGTAGTTTTACTGTAGTAGTATATATATTCTGGACTAGTTTTACTGTAGCAGTATATATATTCTGGACACGTTTGACTACTACATAAATTCTGGATTGTTTTACTGTAGTATTGCATAAATTCTGGAGTAGCTACTATAGTAGTGTATATATTCTGAAGTAGTTTTACTGTAGCAGTATACATATTCTGGACTAGTTTTACTGTAGCAGTATATATATTCTGGACTCGTTTGACTGTAGTACTACATAAATTCTGGGTTGTTTTACTGTAGTATTGCATTTTAGCTACTGTAGCAGTGTATATATTCTGAAGTAGTTTTACTGTAGCAGTATACATATTCTGGACTAGTAGCACACATACTCTGGGCTAGTTTTACTGTAGTATTACAAAGATTCTGTAATAGTGTTTACCACAACATATCACAATATACACTGTATGACATCACAATATACACTGTATGACATCACAATATACAGAGTATTACATCACAATATACAATGTATGACATCACAATATAAAACGTATGACATCACAATATACCCTGTGAGACATCACAATATACCCTGCATGACATCACAATATACCCTGGGAGACATCACAGTATACACTGTATGACATCACAATATACACTATAGGACATCATAAAATACACTGTGTGACATTACAATATACACTGTGAGACATCACAATATACACTGTATGACATCACAATATACACTGCATGACATCACAATATACCTTGTGAGACATCACAATATACACTGTGTGACATCAGAATATACACTGAGACATCACAATATAATAATGTATGACATCACAATATACACTATAGGACATCATAATATACACTGTGTGACATCACAATTTACACTGCATGATCTCACAATATACCTTGTGAGACATCACAATATACACTGTGAGACATAGAGAATACTAAACGATGTCCCGTGTAATACCATATTTATGAAACGAGTGAATGATTTGGTATCTAATGAGTGAAAGCGAGTTAGATACCAGTACCATTCACGAGTTTCATAAATATGGTATTACACAGGACATAGTTTAGTATTTTATTTATTACTCACCCAACATTAGCAAAATAATATCGAGCAAAGTACTTCTTTCCAAAGAATTCAACGAGTGTGATGACTCTCAGCTTTCCGCGAGTCAAGCAAGGTCTAATACTATTGTGCAGAGGTATTAGCATTGTGACGTCATAACTGTAAACCAGTTTTACGTCATACGTATGGCACCACGTGATGTTATTACACAATGTAACATTGTAAAATTATTAAACAGTGATATCTTCAACGGGTGAGTAATAAATCACAATATACACTGTGAGACATCACAATATAATAATGCATGACATCACAATATACACTGTGAGACATCATAATATACACTGTGAGACATCACAATATAATAATGCATGACATCACAATATACACTGTGAGACATCACAATATAATGCATGACATCACAATATACACTGTGAGACATCACAATATACACTGTATGACATCACAATATACACTGTATGACATCACAGCATACACTGTGTGCCATCAGAATATCAGTATACACACTTCAGGACATCACAGTATGACACTCAGTTTGACATCACAGTATACACAGTAAGATGGTATTACAAAGACTTTGGAGAACATACAATTCTTTTCAAGAAATGCAGCATGTCAGTTGAACATTTTTTTATGTTGGTAAAGCCAGAAGCAAAATTCTTTTCACAAAACTTCTTAGATTCATTTTTAAGAAACCATAAGTGATAAAATAGCTCATATAGACTAGTCACTCCATAGTTCCATTACCTGCAAGCAGACTCATCTCTCTTGTCAATCACTCAATGTCACGTGTGCAAACTTGACAAGCCAATCAGAATATAGCAACCACTAAGCACTAGATCAAAGAAACCCTTGTTCATATTTCATTGTTTTAGGGTATCAACAAGGGTATCAACAAAGGGTTGGTGTTTCATTGTTTTAGAACAAAGGGTTGGTGTCTAACAAGTTAATACAATACTCATGATACCAATGATACAAAGGGTTGGTGTATAACAAGTTAATACAACAAAGGGTTGGTGTATAACAAGTTAATACAATACTCATGATACCAATGATACAAAGGGTTGGTGTATAACAAGTTAATACAACAAAGGGTTGGTGTATAACAAGTTAATACAATACTCATGATACCAATGATACAAAGGGTTGGTGTATAACAAGTTAATACAACAAAGGGTTGGTGTATAACAAATACAATACTCATGATTAATACAATACTCATGATACCAATGATACAAAATACAATACTCATGATACCAATGATACAAAGGGTTGGTGTATAACAAGTTAATACAACAAAGGGTTGGTGTATAACAAGTTAATACAATACTCATGATACCAATGATACAAAGGGTTGGTGTATAACAAGTTAATACAACAAAGGGTTGGTGTATAACAAGTTAATATCATTACCAATGATACAAAGGGTTGGTGTATAACAAGTTAATACAACAAAGGGTTCACCCATTTGCATAGTCTGTCACACAGTCCCTGAACAAGTTAATTTATTTTGTTTCACCCATTTTAGTCCCCACAGTCCCTGAACCACATTTTTCCCCCGACTGCCTAGCCCTCTTGCAATGCAGAAGCCCTAAATGAAGCAAGTCTAGAGTTTTGCCATCTAACTGGGGCTCCTTTTCAATGGAATCAAATCAAAATTATATATATTCAGAGACCAAGTGCAGTGCAGACCAAGAGTGAGTTTTACACCACTTTTAGCAATATTCCAGCAATGTCACGACGGGGTAGACCAGAAATGGGCTTCACACACTGTACCAATGTGGGAAATCGAACCCCTGTCTTCAGCGTTACAAGACAACGTCTTAACTACTAGCCACTCCACCACCCTGTAGACCACGAAAGGGGCAAGCAGGATTTCCTAGACTTACAACAGTGAGCACATGGATGGGTAGAGAAAAGACTTTAGTTTGGCATCACTCGGTGAAGGCGGACCAGACAATCCAGTGCTCAATACCGTCAGAATAATGGGTACGAGGACACGCTTGTCACCAGAATTTTTTTCACTCAGTAGCCTCTCTCAATGAGCATGATTTGTTGGGGACCTACTCTAACACAGGAACATACCACATTCTGCATTCATTATCATAACATACACTGTGATATATATATTACGATACATGATATATAAACTCAACAGGGCATTTTTCACAGCAAGTCTAACAACTGTAGCAAATGTAGAACATAACTGCCCCAAATATTTAAAAAGTTTAAAAATTAATATCCTAACAATGTCCTTCATGTACATTGACATATTGTTGGCGCGTCTACTCCCCAAGGAGTGTATTACCTCCCCTGATTCACAGTGTCTCTCTGTTGAGCAGATTACCTCCCTTGAGCACAGCAAAATGGCTTGGTGTCACCGTCATCTCCTCAGTTTCCCAACTTTTTCAAACTCTTCTGCAATTGAAAGTGCGGTCTTGTTTAACCCTATTGATATCATGTTGACCATGATTGCCACGACAACCCCTGAAGGTGGGTTGTCAACCCCTGACCGAGGCACCACCACCAACACACTACTGGCTCCGATAGCGCCCCCTGTGTGAGTAACGTAGTGTCTCTGGTGTCTACAACATCCGTGATCCAGCTTCTCCGGAATGATGGCCCAGCCGAGCGCGTATCCACCATCTTTGTCCCAGGAGCACTCAGTGTTGTCCACAGGTTGCCACATTTCCCCGACGGTCTCTCGCTTCAGATAGCCATTCAAATATCTTTTCTCAGAGCCTTCAGTTTGCTTCCCATTTGCAGAAGTATCCAGGTCTGACTGAGATCTAGGGTCGGTGTCTTCAACAACTGACTTCTCCGGCAGCTGATGTTGATAACTGTACAGCATGACATTGCCGAACTTACACAGGTCGGCCACGGTCGACAGAAGACCACCTCCGGCCCATTTGTACGAGTTGTCAACATATGGGGCGTTGATCAGCCGACCTTTGTTGTTCTTCACGTAATATCTGCCAAGTGAGACAATAATTTCATTATCGGGTGAAAGAGTACGCTCTTACCATGGTACGGTACAGTACGGTACAAGGCCTTCGGTTCGGTACATGAGAACTTACTTCCGTAAAAATAGCAGTCATCTAGCATAGAATGCATAGATTTTGACAAAATGATTCCATTTCTAGACATTTTAGAAAGGTTTAAAAAGGTTGAGAAAATAACGGTACGAAAACAAAAAAAAATGAATTTTTGGATTGCATTACGGTATACCAAACCGAAGGCAAAATACTTTGATATATTCTCCCCAAAGCCTGTAGCAGCGGTCAGTTAAATTCACAATTTGTAATTTTACATTTCCCAGTTCATGTTAATAAAGTTTGACAAATGTCATGATTTTTTCAAATGTGACTTGTGTATCACTAATAAAGGGACCAATAGAAGAAGAGACCTAAAAACACCTCAGAAATTAGAAAAATATGAACTTTACAAAAATCCTGAATTTGACCAAAATGATTTTCCCCGTTTTGAACGCCAGGGCTTCTCAGTTCCAACTCCTGGATAAACCTTATTGTAGGTATCTCTCAACTATGGGGAGCAGTCAGTAGCCTCATGGTCAAAGTGTTTGTTAGATCCGGGTTCGATTCTCCACATGGGTACAATGTGTGAAGCCCATTTCTGGTCCCCCTGATATGATATTGCTGAAATATTGCTGAAAGTGGTGTTAAACCATACTCAGTATAAAAACCAAGTACTCCCACTCACTTGGTGGTGGGGTAGCTTAATGGTTAAAGCGTTCGCTTGTCACTCTGAAGACCCATGTTCAGTTCCGCACATGGGTACTATGTATGAAGCAGATTTCTAAACTCACTCACTCACTACTCTCACTCACTGGGGCGGTGGGGTAGCCTAGTGGTTAAAGCGTCCCCGTCCCCGTCCCCGCCGAAGACCCGGGTTTGATTCCCCACATGGGTACAATGTGTGGAGTTCATTTCTTGTGTCCCCACCTAGGTCTCCTCTTCAGACAGCACATCTCAGTTATCTCATGGCATGGATATGGAACAATATTGTTTAGATCTGTTGGTTTAACAAATATCAGAACAGAACAATATTGTTTAGATCTGTTGGTTTAACAAATATCAGTACGGAACAATATTGTTCAGATCTGTTGGTTTAACAAATATCAGAACAGAACAATATTGTTTAGATCTGTTGGTTTTACAAATATCAGTACGGAACAATATTGTTTAGATCTGTTGGTTTTACAAATATCAGAACAGAACAATATTGTTTAGATTTGTTGGTTTTACAAATATCAGTACGAACAATATTGTTTAGATTTGTTGGTTTTACAAATATCAATACGGAACAATATTGTTTAGATTTGTTGGTTTTACAAATATCAGTACGGAACAATATTGTTTAGATTTGTTGGTTTTACAAATATCAGAACAGAACAATATTGTTTAGATCTGTTGGTTTTACAAATATCAGTACGGAACAATATTGTTTAGATCTGTTGGTTTTACAAATATCAGTAACGGAACAATATTGTTTAGATTTGTTGGTTTTACAAATATCAATACGGAACAATATTGTTTTGATTTGTTGGTTTTACAAATATCAATGGAACAATATTGTTTAGATTTGTTGGTTTTACAAATATCAGTACAGAACAATATTGTTTAGATCTGTTGGTTTTACAAATATCAGTACGGAACAATATTGTTTAGATTTGTTGGTTTTACAAATATCAGAACAGAACAATATTGTTTAGATCTGTTGGTTTTACAAATATCAGTACGGAACAATATTGTTTAGATCTGTTGGTTTTACAAATATCAGTACGGAACAATATTGTTTAGATTTGTTGGTTTTACAAATATCAATGCGGAACAATATTGTTTAGATTTGTTGGTTTTACAAATATCAATACGGAACAATATTGTTTAGATCTGTTGGTTTTACAAATATCAGTACGGAACAATATTGTTTAGATTTGTTGGTTTTACAAATATCAATACGGAACAATATTGTTTAGATTTGTTGGTTTTACAAATATCAATACGGAACAATATTGTTTAGATTTGTTGGTTTAACAAATATCAGTACGGAACAATATTGTTCAGATCTGTTGGTTTTACAAATATCAGAACAGAACAATATTGTTTAGATTTGTTGTTTTACAAATATCAATAGTATTGTTTAGATCTGTTGGTTTTACAAATATCAGTACAGAACAATATTGTTTAGATCTGTTGGTTTTACAAATATCAGAACGGAACAATATTGTTTAGATCTGTTGGTTTTACAAATATCAGTACGGAACAATATTGTTTAGATTTGTTGGTTTTACAAATATCAGTACGGAACAATATTGTTTAGATCTGTTGGTTTTACAAATATCAATATTGTTTAGATTTGTTGGTTTTACAAATATCAATACGGAACAATATTGTTTAGATCTGTTGGTTTTACAAATATCAGTACGGAACAATATTGTTTAGATCTGTTGGTTTTACAAATATCAATGCGGAACAATATTGTTTAGATCTGTTGGTTTTACAAATATCAATACGGAACAATATTGTTTAGATCTGTTGGTTTTACAAATATCAGTACGGAACAATATTGTTTAGATTTGTGGTTTTACAAATATTTACAACAATATCAGATCTGTTGGAACAATATTGTTTAGATTTGTTGGTTTTACAAATATCAGTACGGAACAATATTGTTTAGATCTGTTGGTTTTAACAAATATCAGTACGGAACAATATTGTTTAGATCTGTTGGTTTTACAAATATCAGTACAGAACAATATTGTTTAGATCTGTTGGTTTTACAAATATCAATACGAACAATATTGTTTTCAGAGATTTGTTGGTTTTACAAATATCAATACAGAACAATATTGTTTAGATCTGTTGGTTTTACAAATATCAATACGAACAATATTGTTTAGATTTGTTGGTTTTACAAATATCAATACGGAACAATATTGTTTAGATTTGTTGGTTTTACAAATATCAATACGGAACAATATTGTTTAGATCTGTTGGTTTTACAAATATCAATACGGAACAATATTGTTTAGATTTGTTGGTTTTACAAATATCAATACGGAACAATATTGAACAATATTGTTTAGATTTGTTGGTTTTTTTACAAATATCAATACGGAACAATATTGTTCAGATCTGTTGGTTTTACAAATATCAGTACAGAACAATATTGTTTAGATTTGTTGGTTTTACAAATATCAATACGGAACAATATTGTTTAGATCTGTTGGTTTTACAAATATCAATACGGAACAATATTGTTTAGATCTGTTGGTTTTACAAATATCAATACGGAACAATATTGTTTAGATTTGTTGGTTTTACAAATATCAATACGGAACAATATTGTTTAGATCTGTTGGTTTTACAAAATATCAATACGAACAATATTGTTTAGATTTGTTGGTTTTACAAATATCAATACGGAACAATATTGTTTAGATCTGTTGGTTTTAAAATATCAATAACAGAACAATATTGTTTAGATCTGTTGGTTTTACAAATATCAGTACGGAACAATATTGTACAGATTTGTTGGTTTTACAAATATCAATACGGAACAATATTGTTTAGATTTGTTGGTTTTACAAATATCAATACGGAACAATATTGTTTAGATCTGTTGGTTTTACAAATATCAGTACGGAACAATATTGTTTAGATTTGTTGGTTTTACAAATATCAGTACGGAACAATATTGTTTAGATCTGTTGGTTTTACAAATATCAATACGGAACAATATTGTTTAGATCTGTTGGTTTTACAAATATCAATACGGAACAATATTGTTTAGATCTGTTGGTTTTACAAATATCAGTACGGAACAATATTGTTTAGATCTGTTGGTTTTACAAATATCAATACGAACAATATTGTTTAGATCTGTTGGTTTTACAAATATCAATACGGAACAATATTGTTTAGATCTGTTGGTTTTACAAATATCAGTACGGAACAATATTGTTTAGATTTGTTGGTTTTACAAATATCAATACGGAACAATATTGTTTAGATTTGTTGGTTTTACAAATATCAATCTGGAACAATATTGTTTTAGATCTGTTGGTTTTAAAAATATCAGATACGGAACAATATTGTTCAGATCTGTTGGTTTTACAATATCAATACGGAACAATATTGTTTAGATTTGTTGGTTTTACAAATATCAATAACAGAACAATATTGTTTAGATCTGTTGGTTTTAAGAATAATATCAATACGGAACAATATTGTTTAGATTTGTTGGTTTTACAAATATCAATACGGAACAATATTGTTTAGATCTGTTGGTTTTACAAATATCAATACGGAACAATATTGTTTAGATCTGTTGGTTTTACAAATATCAATACGGAACAATATTGTTTAGATTTGTTGGTTTTACAAATATCAATACGGAACAATATTGTTTAGATCTGTTGGTTTTAAAATATCAAATATTGTTTAGATCTGTTGGTTTTACAAATATCAGTACAGAACAATATTGTTTAGATCTGTTGGTTTTACAAATATCAATACATGAAACAATATTGTTTAGATCTGTTGGTTTTACAAATATCAATACGGAACAATATTGTTTAGATCTGTTGGTTTTAAGATATCAATATCAGTACAGAACATTGTTTAGATCTGTTGGTTTTACAAATATCAGATTTGTTGGTTTACAAATATCAACAATATTGTTCAGATCTGAACAATATTGTTTAGATTTGTTGGTTTTACAAATATCAGAACAGAACAATATTGTTTAGATCTGTTGGTTTTACAAATATCAGTACGGAACAATATTGTTTAGATCTGTTGGTTTTACAAATATCAGTACGGAACAATATTGTTTAGATCTGTTGGTTTTACAAATATCAGTACGGAACAATATTGTTTAGATTTGTTGGTTTTACAAATATCAGAACAGAACAATATTGTTTAGATCTGTTGGTTTTACAAATATCAGTACGGAACAATATTGTTTAGATCTGTTGGTTTTACAAATATCAGAACGGAACAATATTGTTTAGATTTGTTGGTTTTACAAATATCAGTACGGAACAATATTGTTTAGATCTGTTGGTTTTACAAATATCAGTACGGAACAATATTGTTTAGATTTGTTGGTTTTACAAATATCAGAACAATACGAGATTTGTTGGTTTTACAATATTGTTTAGATCTGTTGGTTTTACAAATATCAGTACGGAACAATATTGTTTAGATTTGTTGGTTTTACAAATATCAGAACAGAACAATATTGTTTAGATCTGTTGGTTTTACAAATATCAGAACGGAACAATATTGTTTAGATTTGTTGGTTTTACAAATATCAGTACGGAACAATATTGTTTAGATCTGTTGGTTTTACAAATATCAGTACGGAACAATATTGTTCAGATCTGTTGGTTTTACAAATATCAATACGGAACAATATTGTTCAATATTGTTTTACAAAATATCAGAAATATTGTTTACGAAAACAATATTGTTTAGTTTTGGTTTTAAAATATCAATATCTGTTTAGATTTGCTGGTTTTACAAATATCAGAACAGAACAATATTGTTTAGATTTGTTGGTTTTACAAATATCAGTACGGAACAATATTGTTTAGATTTGTTGGTTTTACAAATATCAGTACGGAACAATATTGTTCAGATCTGTTGGTTTTACAAATATCAGTATGGAACAATATTGTTTAGATCTGTTTGTTTTACAAATATCAGAACGGAACAATATTGTTCAGATCTGTTGGTCAGAAAGATACAATTTCATTCACCACAGATATATTTCTCAGTGAACAGTCATGTTTTTATCAGAGACTGACAATGACTTGACATTCTGTTTGGATGACTCTGGCATTAATTATAAAATTTGGGATTTGAACAAAAAATACCTTGATCTGTCCTCTGATTGTCACTCAAACACATGTTTCATCCCATAAAATACAAATCCAAAGAAATGACCTTGACCTACAAAACTCACCTTGACCTATTATAGATAACTGGAGTATTTTCATCCAGATATGTATGCTTCAGTCCAAGGTCTTTGAAAAGTCCCAGAAGAAGTTCCCTGAACGTCTTCTTACTAGCGCCCTCTAGGACAGCACTGACCAGCGTGTAACCGTGAGTAGTATACAGGAACTTGCTGCCTAGAAAATAAAGTTCGTGGTCAATGATGGCAGCTATATAAAGACTATATAATTATATTTTTACAGCATTTTATTATTTGGTCACTGGTTTCACATAGCAAGTAACAGTATTTCAATACCAGCACAGCGCAGGTGTTATCTTGACCAGCACAGCGCAGGTGTTATCTTGACCAGCACAGCACAGGTGTTATCTTGACCAGCACAGCGCAGGTGTTATCTTGACCAGCACAGCGCAGGTGTTATCTTGACCAGCACAGCAGGTGTTATCTTGAGCGCAGGTGTTATCTTGACCAGCACAGCAGGTGTTATCTTGACCAGCACAGCGCAGGTATCTTGACCAGGTGTTATCACCAGCACAGCGCACAGGTGTTATCTTGACCAGCACAGCCAGGTGTTATCTTGACCAGCACAGCGCAGGTGTTATCTTGACCAGCACAGCGCAGGTGTTATCTTGACCAGCACAGTGCAGGTGTTATCTTGACCAGCACAGCGCAGGTGTTATCTTGACCAGCACAGCGCAGGTGTTATCTTGACCAGCACAGCGCAGGTGTTATCTTGACCAGCACAGCGCAGGTGTTATCTTGACCAGCACAGCGCAGGTGTTATCTTGACCAGCACAGCGCAGGTGTTATCTTGACCAGCACAGCGCAGGTGTTATCTTGCCAGGTGTTATCTTATCTTGACCAGCACAGCACAGGTGTTATCTTGACCAGCACAGCACAGGTGTTATCTTGACCAGCACAGTGCAGGTGTTATCTTGACCAGCACAGCACAGGTGTTATCTTGACCAGCACAGTGCAGGTGTTATCTTGTCATTGGAAACTGGAGAATTGTTTGTTGGTTACGTTCAGCAATATTACATTTATACCACGTGAGACCTGTTCCTAAGCGAGACAGCATTAAATGCAATACTAAAATAACTATGAATTTCTATAAATATTTTATATTTTTCTCATTATGTGCTTGCTAAAGGGCTAATTGATTGACCTGAAACTATGGAGCGAGTAAGTGAATTTAGTTTTACGCCACACTCAGCAATTCCAGCTATATGGCGGCGGTCTGTAAATAATCGAGTCTGGACCAGACAATCCAGTGGTCAACAGCATGAGCATCGATCTGCGCAATTAGGGAACCGAAAACATGTGTCAACCAAGCCAGTGAGCCTGACCACCCGATCCCGTTAGTCCCTCTTACGACAAGCATGGGTTACTGAAGATTCATTCTAACCCGCATCTTCATGGATCACCACACTATGGAAGAGAAATGGTGACTAACAGGACAGAGATATTACAGGTTGCTGTAGAAGCAGCATTTCACACACGGCCTGGTAAACACATGAACTACCATGTAACATTTCACTCACTTGTAAAACACAACTTCATCTTAATCATACTATTAACTATTGCAATAGTATTTCTCTCCTTGAATTGTCTCATTTGAATCCTTTTCCCAAATGAATGTACAGTTTATATGAAATAAAAACAAGTTGAAGTAGTTTCAGTCTCTTCTAATAGCATATGGGGCGGTGGGGTAGCCTAGTGGTTAAAGCGTTGGCTCGTCACGCCGAAGACCCGGGTCCGATTCCCCACATGGGCACAATGTGTTAAGCCCATTTCTGGTGTCCCCCTCCGTGATATTGCTGGAATATTGCTAAAAGCGGCGTAAAACTAAACTCAGTCAGTCAGTCAGTCTAATAACTGACAAGAAACTTGAAACCCAGATCAAGTAAACAGTTAAAACATAAACTCCATGAAGCTGTAAGTCTGCACCCTATCATCCTGTATTTTGCGCTTCGCATTTATTACTGAACTATCGATAGTGACACATACTTTCAATGCAATGATAGGCTTTTGTTTCCACCATCAATTAATTGCTATCAGGGACTCAACAATTGCAATCTATCGGTAGTTCGATGTGAAATAGTTGCTGAGTGTAATAGTTGCTGAGTGAAATACAATGTAGTTCCTGAGTGAAATAGTTACAGAGTGAAATAGTTGCTGAGTGTAATAGTTGCTGAGTGAAATAGTTGCTGAGTGAAATAGTTGCTGAGTGAAATAGTTGCTGAGTGAATAGTTGCTGAGTGAAATAGTTGCTGAGTGAAATAGTTGCTGAGTGAAATAGTTGCTGAGTGAAATAGTTGCTGAGTGAAATAGTTGCTGAGTGTAATAGTTGCTGAGTGAAATAGTTGCTGAGTGAAATAGTTGCTGAGTGAAATAGTTGCTGAGTGAAATAGTTGCTGAGTGAAATAGTTGCTGAGTGAAATAGTTGCTGAGTGAAATAGTTGCTGAGAGTGAAATAGTTGCTGAGTGAAATAGTTGCTGAGTGAAATAGTTGCTGAGTGAAATAGTTGCTGAGTGAAATAGTTGCTGAGTGAAATAGTTGCTGAGTGAAATAGTTGCTGAGTGAAATAGTTGCTGAGTGAAATAGTTGCTGAGTGAAATAGTTGCTGAGTGAAATAGTTGCTGAGTGAAATAGTTGCTGAGTGAAATAGTTGCTGAGTGAAATAGCTGCTGAGTGAAATAGTTGCTGAGTGAAATAGTTGCTGAGTGAAATAGTTGCTGAGTGAAATAGTTGCTGAGTGAAATAGTTGCTGAGTGAAATAGTTGCAGAGTGAAATAGTTGCTGAGTGAAACAGTTGCTGAGTGAAAGAGTTGCTGAGTGAAATAGTTGCTGAGTGAAAGAGTGCTGAGTGAAATAGTTGCTGAGTGAAATAGTTGCTGAGTGAAATAGTTGCTGAGTGAAAGCTGCTGAGTAGCTGCTGAGTGAAATAGTTGCTGAGTGAAATAGTTGCTGAGTGAAATAGTTGCTGAGTGAAATAGTTGCTGAGTGAAATAGTAAATAGTTGCTGAGTGAAATAGTTGCTGAGTGAAATAGTTGCTGAGTGAAACAGTTGCTGAGTGAAATAGTTGCTGAGTGAAATAGTTGCTGAGTGAAAGAAAGAGTTGCTGAGTGAAATAGTTGCTGAGTGAAATAGTTGCTGAGTGAAATAGTTGCTGAGTGAAATAGTTGCTGAGTGAAATAGTTGCTGAGTGAAAGAGTTGCTGAGTGAAATAGTTGCTGAGTGAAATAGCTGAGTGAAAGAGTTGCAGAGTGAAATAGTTGCTGAGTGAAATAGTTGCTGAGTGAAATAGAAAGTTACTGAGTGAAATAGTTGCTGAGTGAAATAGTTGCTGAGTGAAATAGTTGCTGAGTGAAATAGTTGCTGAGTGAAATAGTTGCTGAGTGAAATAGTTGCTGAGTGAAATAGTTGCTGAGTGAAATAGTTGCTGAGTGAAATAGTTGCTGAGTGAAATAGTTGCTGAGTGAAATAGTTGCTGAGTGAAATAGTTGCTGAGTGAAATAGTTGAGTGAAATAGTGAGTGAAATAGTTGCTGAGTGAAATAGTTGCTGAGTGAAATAGTTGCTGATTGAAATAGCTGCTGAAACAGTTGCTGAGTGAAATAGTTGCTGAGTGAAATAAATAGTTGCTGAAATAGTTGCTGAAAATAGCTTGCTGAGTGAAATAGTTGCTGAGTGAAATAGTTGCTGAGTGAAATAGTTGCTGAGTGAAATAGTTGCTGAGTGAAATAGTTGCTGAGTGAAATAGTTGCTGAGTGAAATAGTTGCTGAGTGAAATAGTTGCTGAGTGAAATAGTTGTGAAATAGTTGAGTGAAATAGTTGCTGAGTGAAATAGTTGCTGAGTGAGTTGCTGTGAAATAGTTGCTGAGGAAAGAGTTGCTGAGTGAAATAGTTGCTTCTGCTTCAGAATTAAATGACTGATGTGGCGATCAAATCGGAAATACTTTCACGGTGCGATTTCATGTTTTTTTCAGTACCTGCACCGAGTGCAACCTGGCTTACAGGTTTGGCGGCATCCTAAAAATATTGAAGCCCCAAATAATGTCACTTGTTCTAAAGTAACAAATACTTGTTTGGCAACACTGTGTGTAGTGTGCATGTGAAGTGCCCATGTGGTGTGTGTATTGTGTGGTATGTGTGTGATGGCTCTCCAGTGTGTGTGCGTGCGCATATGTGCATGCAATTTGTGTGTGTGTGTGTGTGTGTGTGTGTGTGTGTGTGTGTGTGTGTGTGTGTGTGTGTGTGTGTGCGCCAGACCACTGAGAGGTACAGACAAGTACTATTTTAATGGCTGTGTGTGTGTGTGTGTGTGTGTGTGTGTGTGTGCATGTGTGGAGTGCGTGTGTGTGTGTGTGTGTGTGTGTGTGTTTGCGTGCATGTGCAGCGCACGCATGTGTGGAGTGTGTGTATGGAGCATGTGTGGTGTGTGCATGTGCATGTGTGCTGTGCGCATGTTTGGTGTAGGTTTGCTCCACACCACTGAGGGCTAAAGAAGTTCCATGTTAACAGCTGTGTGTATCACCAGGCTGATGATTAATCCACCCTCCTTCCATTCTCTGAAGAGACTCTCACAAGATCAAATTCAGCTGTACCATATAGATCATGGGCTACAATTATCCCAATTTTGCAAGTTCAACCTATAGTAAGATCCAACAAGGAGTCATAGCTATGTTACATAGCCATTTAAACTGAAGCACTGGAAGCTGACCTGGTTTGTGGACAAGAGGGTCATCTTTGAACAGCTCCAGGCTCGACTTGACAGATTTGAAGTGTTTCTTCAGGTAATATTCCAGGTGTTCCATCTCCGCTTTCTCCGGGGAGGCGTTCTCAATTGACGTCTTGTCAGCTTTGTCCTTGTCCTGCCACACACAAGTTAACATTCTCAGTGACTGAGGGGATTAAGTGGGTGGGTGAGTGAGTGAGTGAGTGAGTGAGAGTGTTTGGGTGAGTGAGTGTTTGGGTGAGTGGTGTTTTGTGCTGGGTATTGTGCGTTTGGAATGGGTATATACTTTTGGGCGAGTCGTGTGTTCTGGTTGGTGTGGCAGACTGGTGGGTCTCAGAGGACATATATGTTTGTTATAGCGTAGGCTTTTAACTCAATAAATTAAAACTATATTCTATAACAAACATTTAAGTGGTGTAGTGAGTGGGTGTGGGGTTTTTTTTCAGAGAGGGTGTGGTTGGATGAGAGGGTGTGGTTGGATGAGTGGGTGTGGTTGGATGAGTGGGTGTGGTTGGATGAGTGGGTGTGGTTGGATGAGTGGGTGTGGTTGGATGAGAGGGTGTGGTTGGATGAGTTGGTGTGGTTGGATGAGTGGGTGTGGTTGGATGGGTGGGTGTGGTTGGATGAGTGGGTGTGGTTGGATGAGTTGGTTGGATGAGTGGGTGTGGTTGGTGTGGTTGGATGAGTGGGTGTGGTTGGATGAGTGGGTGTGGTTGGATGAGTGGGTGTGGTTGGATGAGTGGGTGTGGTTGGATGACTGGGTGTGGTTGTATGAGTGGGTATGGTTGGATGAGTTGGTGTATGAGTGGGTGTGGTTGTATGAGTGGGTGTGGTTGTATGAGTGGGTGTGGTTGTATGAGTGGGTTGTATGAGTGGGTGTGGTTGGATGAGTGGGTGTGGTTGGAGTGGGTGGGTGGTTGTATGAGTGGGTGTGGTTGGATGGGTGAGGGAGTGGGTGTGGTTGGATGAGTGGGTGTGGTTGGATGAGTGGGTGTGTTGGATGAGTGGGTGTGGTTGGATGAGTGGGTGTGGTTGGATGAGTTGGTGTATGAGTGGGTGTGGTTGTATGAGTGGGTGTGGTTGTATGAGTGGGTGTGGTTGGATGAGTGGGTGTGGATGAGTGGGTGTGGTTGGATGAGTGGGTGTGGTTGGATGAGTGGGTGTGGTTGGATGAGAGGGTGTGGTTGGATGAGTGGGTGTGGTTGGATGAGTGGGTGTGGTTGGATGAGTGGGTGTGGTTGGATGAGTGGGTGTGGTTGGATGAGTGGGTGGTGGTTGGATGAGTGAGAGTGGTGTGGTTGGTTGTATGAGTGGGTGTGGTTGGATGAGTGGGTGTGGTTGGATGATGAGTGGGTGTGGTTGGATGAGTGGGTTGGATGGTTGGATGAGTAGGTGTGGTTGGATGAGTGAGTGGTTGTGTGGTTGGATGAGTGGGTGTGGTTGGATGAGTGGGTGTGGTTGGATGAGTAGGTGTGGTTGGATGTGGATGAGTGGGTGGTTGGATGAGTAGGTGTGGTTGGATGTGAGTAGGTGTGGTTGGATGAGTGGGTGTGGTTGGATGAGTAAAGGTGTGGTTGGATGAGTAGGTGTGGTTGGATGAGTGGGTTGGATGAGTGGGTGTGGTTGGATGAGTAGGTGGTGTGGTTGGATGAGTGGGTTGGTGTTGGAATGATGAGTGGGTGTGGTTGGATGAGTGGGTGTGGTTGGATGAGTAGGTGTGGTTGGATGAGTGAGAGGGTGTGGTTGGATGAGTGGGTGTGGTTGGATCAGTAGGTGTGGTTGGATGAGTGGGTGTGGTTGGATGAGTGGGTTGGATGAGTGGGTGTAGTTGGATGAGTGGGTGTGGTTGGTTGAGTGGGTGTGGTTGGATGAGTGGGTGTGGTTGGAGTGGGTGTGGTTGGATGAGTGGGTGTGGTTGTATGAGTGAGTGAGTGTGGCCCTGACCTTCATGTATTCCTTGCCATAATGCCTGATTCCTCCCAGGTGGGAGAGCAGCTGTCTTGTTGTTATGGTAACCTGAAACAACCATGTGAGTGAGTGAGTGATTGTTGTCGGTAATATTCCAGTCAACAAGAGAACTATATATAAAGGGGAAATCATAATATTGTGTGAGACATGGCATGTCACGAAGACATGTACACAAAACAATTGTCAGTCACATTTGGAATGTTGCTAAAGACAATTTGGTCAGAATAGTTCTGATGCAATGGAGTAACTCATTAACTTAGTGACCAAACAAAACTTCCTTTAGGACAACTAATGTCAGGCAGAGTATCACTGTAATTAATGTCATTGATGCATCGGAGCATCGCAGGTAATTTGTGTACAATACGACACACAACTCATTTGTTTTAGTATCGATTCACATTTTGAAATATCGATTCACATTTTGACATAAATCGATTCACATTTTGACATATCGATTCACATTTTGACATATATCTATTCACATTTTGACAGAACATCATCGAAATCGACATGACACATAGACTTGGACTGGATTTGGTTGATGGATACTTGGCTGATACTTGTCTTCCCTTCTCTGGTAATCTTGTTATACAGAACATCAGAAATGACTAGACTTGGATGGATTGGTTGATGGATACTTGGCTGATACTTGTCTTCCCTTCTCTGGTAATCTTGTTATACAGAACATCAGAAATGACTAGACTTGGATGGATTGGTTGATGGATACTTGGCTGATACTTGTCTTCCCTTCTCTGGTAATCTTGTTATACAGAACATCAGAAATGACTAGACTTGGATGGATTGGTTGATGGATACTTGGCTGATACTTGTCTTCCCTTCTCTGGTAATCTTGTTATACAGAACATCAGAAATGACTAGACTTGGATGGATTGATACTTGGCTGATACTCAGTTGATGGATACTTGGATGGATTGGTGATGGACTACTTGGCTGTCTTCCTTCCCTTCTCTGGTAATCTTGTTATACAGAACATCAGAAATGACTAGACTTGGATGGATTGGTTGATGGATACTTGGCTGATACTCAGTCTTCCCTTCTCTGGTAATCTTGTTATACAGAACATCAGAAATGACTAGACTTGGATGGATTGGTTGATGGATACTTGGCTGATACTTGTCTTCCCTTCTCTGGTAATCTTGTTATACAGAACATCAGAAATGACTAGACTTGGATGGATTGGTTGATGGATGCTTGGCTGATACTTGTCTTCTTCCTTCTCTGGTAATCTTGTTATACAGAACATCAGAAATGACTAGACTTGGATGGATTGGTTGATGGATACTTGGCTGATACTTGTCTTCCCTTCTCTGGTAATCTTGTTATACAGAACATCAGAAATGACTAGACTTGGATGGATTGGTTGATGGATACTTGGCTGATACTTGTCTTCCCTTCTCTGGTAATCTTGTTATACAGAACATCAGAAATGACTAGACTTGGATGGATTGGTTGATGGATACTTGGCTGATACTTGTCTTCCCTTCTCTGGTAATCTTGTTATACAGAACATCAGAAATGACTAGACTTGGATGGATTGGTTGATGGATACTTGGCTGATACTTGTCTTCCCTTCTCTGGTAATCTTGTTATACAGAACATCAGAAATGACTAGACTTGGATGGATTGGTTGATGGATACTTGGCTGATACTTGTCTTCCCTTCTCTGGTAATCTTGTTATACAGAACATCAGAAATGACTAGACTTGGATGGATTGGTTGATGGATACTTGGCTGATACTTGTCTTCCCTTCTCTGGTAATCTTGTTATACAGAACATCAGAAATGACTAGACTTGGATGGATTGGTTGATGGATACTTGGCTGATACTTGTCTTCCCTTCTCTGGTAATCTTGTTATACAGAACATCAGAAATGACTAGACTTGGATGGATTGGTTGATGGATACTTGGCTGATACTTGTCTTCCCTTCTCTGGTAATCTTGTTATACAGAACATCAGAAATGACTAGACTTGGATGGATTGGTTGATGGATACTTGGCTGATACTTGTCTTCCCTTCTCTGGTAATCTTGTTATACAGAACATCAGAAATGACTAGACTTGGATGGATTGGTTGATGGATACTTGGCTGATACTTGTCTTCCCTTCTCTGGTAATCTTGTTATACAGAACATCAGAAATGACTAGACTTGGATGGATTGGTTGATGGATACTTGGCTGATACTTGTCTTCCCTTCTCTGGTAATCTTGTTATACAGAACATCAGAAATGACTAGACTTGGATGGATTGGTTGATGGATACTTGGCTGATACTTGTCTTCCCTTCTCTGGTAATCTTGTTATACAGAACATCAGAAATGACTAGACTTGGATGGATTGGTTGATGGATACTTGGCTGATACTTGTCTTCCCTTCTCTGGTAATCTTGTTATACAGAACATCAGAAATGACTAGACTTGGATGGATTGGTTGATGGATACTTGGCTGATACTTGTCTTCCCTTCTCTGGTAATCTTGTTATACAGAACATCAGAAATGACTAGACTTGGATGGATTGGTTGATGGATACTTGGCTGATACTTGTCTTCCCTTCTCTGGTAATCTTGTTATACAGAACATCAGAAATGACTAGACTTGGATGGATTGGTTGATGGATACTTGGCTGATACTTGTCTTCCCTTCTCTGGTAATCTTGTTATACAGAACATCAGAAATGACTAGACTTGGATGGATTGGTTGATGGATACTTGGCTGATACTTGTCTTCCCTTCTCTGGTAATCTTGTTATACAGAACATCAGAAATGACTAGACTTGGATGGATTGGTTGATGGATACTTGGCTGATACTCAGTCTTCCCTTCTCTGGTAATCTTGTTATACAGAACATCAGAAATGACTAGACTTGGATGGATTGGTTGATGGATACTTGGCTGATACTTGTCTTCCCTTCTCTGGTAATCTTGTTATACAGAACATCAGAAATGACTAGACTTGGATGGATTGGTTGATGGATACTTGGCTGATACTTGTCTTCCCTTCTCTGGTAATCTTGTTATACAGAACATCAGAAATGACTAGACTTGGATGGATTGGTTGATGGATACTTGGCTGATACTTGTCTTCCCTTCTCTGGTAATCTTGTTATACAGAACATCAGAAATGACTAGACTTGGATGGATTGGTTGATGGATACTTGGCTGATACTTGTCTTCCCTTCTCTGGTAATCTTGTTATACAGAACATCAGAAATGACTAGACTTGGATGGATTGGTTGATGGATACTTGGCTGATACTTGTCTTCCCTTCTCTGGTAATCTTGTTATACAGAACATCAGAAATGACTAGACTTGGATGGATTGGTTGATGGATACTTGGCTGATACTTGTCTTCCCTTCTCTGGTAATCTTGTTATACAGAACATCAGAAATGACTAGACTTGGATGGATTGGTTGATGGATACTTGGCTGATACTTGTCTTCCCTTCTCTGGTAATCTTGTTATACAGAACATCAGAAATGACTAGACTTGGATGGATTGGTTGATGGATACTTGGCTGATACTTGTCTTCCCTTCTCTGGTAATCTTGTTATACAGAACATCAGAAATGACTAGACTAGACTGGATGGATTGGTTGATGGATACTTGGCTGATACTTGTCTTCCCTTCTCTGGTAATCTTGTTATACAGAACATCAGAAATGACTAGACTTGGATGGATTGGTTGATGGATACTTGGCTGATACTTGTCTTCCCTTCTCTGGTAATCTTGTTATACAGAACATCAGAAATGACTAGACTTGGATGGATTGGTTGATGGATACTTGGCTGATACTCAGTCTTCCCTTCTCTGGTAATCTTGTTATACAGAACATCAGAAATGACTAGACTTGGATGGATTGGTTGATGGATACTTGGCTGATACTTGTCTTCCCTTCTCTGGTAATCTTGTTATACAGAACATCAGAAATGACTAGACTTGGATGGATTGGTTGATGGATACTTGGCTGATACTCAGTCTTCCCTTCTCTTGTAATCTTGTTATACAGAACATCAGAAATGACTAGACTTGGATGGATTGGTTGATGGATACTTGGCTGATACTTGTCTTCCCTTCTCTGGTAATCTTGTTATACAGAACATCAGAAATGACTAGACTTGGATGGATTGGTTGATGGATACTTGGCTGATACTTGTCTTCCCTTCTCTGGTAATCTTGTTATACAGAACATCAGAAATGACTAGACTTGGATGGATTGGTTGATGGATACTTGGCTGATACTTGTCTTCCCTTCTCTGGTAATCTTGTTATACAGAACATCAGAAATGACTAGACTTGGATGGATTGGTTGATGGATACTTGGCTGATACTCAGTCTTCCCTTCTCTGGTAATCTTGTTATACAGAACATCAGAAATGACTAGACTTGGATGGATTGGTTGATGGATACTTGGCTGATACTTGTCTTCCCTTCTCTGGTAATCTTGTTATACAGAACATCAGAAATGACTAGACTTGGATGGATTGGTTGATGGATACTTGGCTGATACTTGTCTTCCCTTCTCTGGTAATCTTGTTATACAGAACATCAGAAATGACTAGACTTGGATGGATTGGTTGATGGATACTTGGCTGATACTTGTCTTCCCTTCTCTGGTAATCTTGTTATACAGAACATCAGAAATGACTAGACTTGGATGGATTGGTTGATGGATACTTGGCTGATACTTGTCTTCCCTTCTCTGGTAATCTTGTTATACAGAACATCAGAAATGACTAGACTTGGATGGATTGGTTGATGGATACTTGGCTGATACTTGTCTTCCCTTCTCTGGTAATCTTGTTATACAGAACATCAGAAATGACTAGACTTGGATGGATTGGTTGATGGATACTTGGCTTGATACTCAGTCTTCCCTTCTCTGGTAATCTTGTTATACAGAACATCAGAAATGACTAGACTTGGATGGATTGGTTGATGGATACTTGGCTGATACTTGTCTTCCTTCTCTGGTAATCTTGTTATACAGAACATCAGAAATGACTAGACTTGGATGGATTGGTTGATGGAT